GCCTCCTGAGTAGCTGCGATTACAGGCACGTGCCACCATGCCCAGCTAATTTTTTGTATTTTTAGTAGAGACGGGGTTTCACCTTGTTGACCAGGATGGTCTCGATCTCTTGACCTCGTGATCCACCCGCCTCGGCCTCCCAAAGTGCTGGGATTACAGGCGTGAGCCACCGCGCCCGGCCCGTGAATCTTATTTCTTACCAGTTAGTTTATCTGTTTCTCTTTTGGCTACACTAAAATAGATCCTGAATTTCAGCTCAAATGGTTACCTACGGAGTTAAACAACATTTAGGTGTCTGAATATCTTCCTAAAATAAAAATTATAATGAAAATTTTAAGTATTATTTTTGTTTACTGTTCTCCTTTTGGGGGTTCCTAGAAATCAATACACACACTTGGTCTGAGTTGCAGAGAATCATAAGAGGCATGCTGCTGGAGGATGGATGCCCACAATTAACCATGCTGGTTTGACAGTAATCATTTCCTCTCAAAAAATCAAGTTAATTTTTAAAATGTGATAGTGTCACCATCTTAAAAATGAAGATGGAAATGATCTTTCCACCCACACCTTGTTGGAGACATATGTCCATCCAATGTGTGTCCATCAAATGCATGGTTCAAAAATAAGAGACAGCACATACTTCAGAGTCAGTCCCACTCTCAAAACAGTCATAAAAAATTTTCACTTTCATATAACTTTTTATGACTTTTCAAAAGTTAATACTATTCATTCAAAGTACTTTGCTGAAAAAGAATAAACATTTGTGAATAACTGGAATCTGGCTGGTTTGGGGATGCTATTTACAAAAATGTATACCCATTATACTACTAGCGAAATTAAGACTGAATGCTGATAAGAGATTCTGGTAATACTTTTGGATGAACATGTATCTACTTTGCTTTGAGGATTCTATGCAGTTTTCACTCCCTCATCCATCTATTCAGTCTCCTTTATGTCTTCTTGATCCGAAGTACTAGAGATGTCATCATCTGTTTGTTCTCCAGAGAAATATAGCATCATTGCATGTGTCTTGTGAGTTATGGTGACAGTGCAGGGCCCTTGGGCCCAAGGCTCTCCATCCACCTGCATTGGCATCATGGAGCACTTCAAAATCAGCTGATATTAGGGAACAAATAATGTTTAAAAGTCAGTCCCCCAACATTTAGAAAGGTCTTCCTTAATAATACCATCTACAATCCCTTAACCCTTATGCATTTCATTTTTAGAAAATATTAATCTGAATATGTTTTTATTCATTGATTGTTTAAGGAATTTGTTTTTCAAGTGAATATTTTTTTTTTTTTTTTGAGACGGAGTTTCGCTCGTTACCCAGGCTGGAGTGCAATGGCGCGATCTCGGCTCACCGCAACCTTCGCCTCCCGGGTTCAGGCAATTAATTCTCCTGCCTCAGCCTCCTGAGTCGCTGGGATTACAGGCACACGCCACCATGCCCAGCTACTTTTTTGTATTTTTAGTAGAGACGGGGTTTCACCATGTTGACCAGGATGGTCTCGATCTCTTGACCTCGTGATCCACCCGCCTCGGCCTCCCACAGTGCTGGGATTACAGGCTTGAGCCACCGCGCCTGGCTCAAGTGAATATTTTATCTCATGGATCTTGAGCCATATTTCTGTTCTTCCTCATCCCACTCAAGCCCCTGGTGTAGACTGACCAGGTGCAACAGTCATAAACCACTGTTTAAAGAAAGTTATAGCATGTATACTTTCCACATCAACAGCTTAGAAATGGACTGGGACAAATTAGCCTGTTACAGCTGTATTTTTCACTTACCCTCACTGTATGTGCCTGTCCTATTCGAAAAGGATTCGCCAGTTTCACTTGAATCTGAGCACAGTGGAAAGACCCATATACTCCAACAACTTCCAGTAGACCATCATCATGCCTAAAATTGGAAAAAGAAAATATGGATTATATGATACAATAAAATAAAATCAGTTATGCTAGAGCAATTGCTTTTTAATGCAGTTGGACCATCAACTTTAAAATATTTATAACTAATGAGATATACAAAAAAGAAAATTTGAGGAAAAATGTTAAAGTATATAAACAAGAGATTGCTTTAAATAAAATAGTGACATGAAAAAACAGACTACAAATGTACATACCTGGTTAGAGGGTAAGTCTCGTCCCCCATCCCTTCCCATAGTCTGCAGCCACCGCCCCAGTATCCAATGTTCAGAACTATAATACCTTCCAAGTTGGGCAGTGCTACTCGCTCACCATCCAGTTCTAGCTTTAAAGAAATACAAATAGATAGTGACTACAGGGCACACTATTTCCATACATATCTATTTAGAATTCACATCCATTTTCATAAATGTGCTTATGTGTGAGGGATGCACATGTAGAAGACACTCCGTACCTCTCACTCAGGGCTTCTCATTTGGCCTTTTCTATCTCCCCAGTGGAACTGCTTCTATCAACATCATCAATAATGTCCTTTCTGTTAAGCCCCATGATTTTTTAGGCCTTATCTATCTTGCTGTTTCAGTAGCACCTGACACTTGTTGACTCCCTTCCTCTTTTCCTAAAATCTTCTTCCCTTTGCTTCCTGGAAACTACAGACTCTGCTTCCCTGGATGTTCATTCTCAGGAAAGTAAACTGGGCCAGATCCATCTATCCACTGCCTACAAAACATGTCCACGGACTGGCACCAAAAACTCCTATGTAAAAAACTGATCAAGCAACTTGTTCTGCAATTCGCTCTCTGTTCCCCAATGTACTTACCAGGAAAGAGTAACAGTCTTCCCCTCCTCCTTCTCTTAGCTAACTCTTACTTACTCTTTCCTGGTAAGTAGGTTACTCACCCCCGCAACCCAACTGTTTAAGCCAGAAACCTGGGAGTTATCTTTGATTTCTTTGAATTTACCCTCCACATTCACTTAATCGCTAAAAACAGCTGATGCTATTTCAGTCTTTCTCTCCACCATTTCTTCCCTAAAATGTTCCTATCTGGTCTATCTGCCTCTAGCTTTACTCTCCTATGCATCCCTCACAGAGCAGTCGGATTGACACTTAAAAAATGCAAATATGTCATCCTGTAATTACAACCCTTCGATGGCTTCACTTCAACCCTTCAATGCCCATGATGAAATCCAAGCTCTAATACCAGGCAAATATGACACTGTGATTTGACATCTGTCCATCTCTCTAGCCTCAGCTCTTATCACTGTCCTTCCTGAAAGCTATGCTCCAGCTTGAACTCACTCAAATATGCCACGTGCACCTCTGGGCCTTTTGCACATGCTGTTTTTAGCCTACAGCAATCTTCCCCTCCTCCTTCTCTTAGCTAACTCTTACTTATTTTCAGATTCCAGCTTGTCACTTCTTCCAGAAAGACTTGCTTATACTGCCACTTTCCCTAGTCTCTGTAGCTTCTAGGTTACATATTACTCTTGTTTGTTCCTCTAAGACCACATGCTTTTATTATCACTTCTCATACTGCACTGCAATGTGGTTTAAATATCTTTTCTGCTTTTTTATTGGAGACAGGGTCTCAATCTGTCACCCAGGCTGGAGTGCAGTGGTATAATCATGTTTTACTGAAGCGTCCACTTGCTGGTTTTAAATGATACTCCTGCCTCAGCCTCCTGAGCAGCTAGGACCACAAGTGAATGCCACTATGCTTGGCTATTTTAATTTTTTTTGTAGACACGAGGTCTTGCTATGTTGCCCAGGCTAGTCTCTTTGCCTCAAGCAATCCTCTCACCTTGGCCTCCCAAAGTGCTGGGATTAAAGGTGTGAGCCACTCTGCCCAGACTGGTTTAAATATCTCTCTTCATCCTAGACTGTAAATGTAGAGCAAGGAATTTATCACTGTACCTCCAGTATCGAGGACAGTGACTATTTTTAGGTATATATATAAAATTTTGTTTCCGTATAAGTAAAAATAATTTGTATTTTTGTATAAATAAAATGTCAGACAATAAAGTAAAGGTATTTTATATGCTCCTATGCTTTACTAATACTATCAAAGTCCAGGAAAAAGGAAATATGATAAAGTAACATAACACTCTTTTTTTTTTTTTTTTTTTTGGAGATGGAGTCTTGCTCATCACCCAGGCTGAATGTGCAGTGGCATGATTTTGGCTCACTGTAACCTCCGCCTCCCAGGTTCAAGCAATTCTCTTGCCTCAGCCTCCCAAGTGGCTGGGATTACAGGCATATACCACCACCCTAGGCTAATTTTTTGTATTTTGGTAGAGGCGGGGTTTTACCATGTTGCCTAGGCTGATCTTGAACTCCTGAGCTCAGGCCGTCTGCCCCGCCTCAGCTTCCCAAAGTGCTAGGATTACAGGTGTGAGTCACCGCGCCCGGCTATGATCCTCTTTTTAACAGAAAATCTTGCTCTTTCATGCCATGGCTGCCCAGAGGCTTTGAGCTAAACATTATGCCTAACAGCAACATTTTCCCTTGGCTAATGTGTAATCAGGCTCCTTACTCCCTGCTCATTGTCTCTTTTCCCAAGCTGTTTATGATCTCTTTTTATTTATTTTATTATTTCTAGGTTTCTCTGAATTAATGTTTTTGTTGTTGCTATTAACCATTACAGATTCTTTTTGGAATCAAGCAAGGAATACATATAAGACTGCCATATCACATCAGAGATGCTGTCACAATAAGCCATCATTAATATTCTATTTTTACTACTTATACATTTTTATTTTGGTATGTAAGAGAGATACCCCACAAAAGTAATCTGAATTCAACTTTTCATTTAAACTTCCTCTGCGACTTTATGTTGAGTCAGGCTCTGTATTAGATAATTGTAAGTTATCTATCATGAATGAATGGAGGCCATTCACCCTAATAGTTAAACAGACTCCGGATTTACATAAATCTGAGTTCATGTCCTGATTACATGTGCATTTAGGCATTAAATGACAGAATTTGGGCAAATTCATTTAAAATACTTTTCTTTTCTGTATAATGTGAATACAATACATGCCTTAATAGAATTGTGGTGAGAATTTAGAGGGACAATGTGTATAAAGCATGTAGCAAAGTGCTTGGCACACAAATAAATACTCTATATATGCTGACAAAATGTATTAACAGAAATTTTAGCATTTCTGTTTTAAAAATCTTCATAATTCAGAGACCACCTAAAACTTAAAAAAAAGTATTAATAGCTTACCTCAACTTTTTTATTCAAATCTTTACATTCTTGCACTAAACAATCTTTGGTTCCATAGAATAAGTAAACTGCCTATGAAAAACAGATAGAAAATATGATATTAAAACAATCTAACCCTTTAAACATTAAGAAAAAAAACGCTGTATCAAAGCTCCCTGATAAGAATGTTGAATGAAACACATTTTCCTTACAGTGGACTAGACGCTGATGAAAAGAAGGGCAACCAAAAGGGATACTTTTGGTGTGCAACCTCTGGCCCTATCCAACACCTCCATTCTAGTAATTTTAAAGGGTAAAATTGGAACCCATGAGGAGCAGCAATGGAAATATATAATTAAAAAACAATGTAAAAATGCCTTTAACATATTACAGATACTTTTGGCATCATTTGTTATTTTACATTTTATTCTATTATGCTATTAATAGTTTAAAAGTGCTAGATGAACTCTGGTACAGTAGATGAGATATTACTCATCCTTCTTTTTGGAAGATGACAATATAGGCCATTCCATTTGGGTTTAATTAGCCTCTTTCTCAGGGGAAATGTGGGATAGAAGTGATTTTTTTCTAAATGGTGTTTTCTCCCAATTTATCAAAAATGTTGTATTTTATAAAGAAATATATTTGAGTTAGAAAATTCCATTTATTCTTAGTACTTCAGATTACTTAAGGACAGTAGAAATGCAGATTAATCCAGCAAACATTTTCTAATCACTTTTGAATACAGAAAGGTTGATATAAGCAGTGAGATAAGTTAATTATCAACTGACTAAATAGCAATACTTATTACATTAGTAACTATATTAATAAAAGGGAGTTATTTTAAAATTTGAAATACTTGTAAAACAGAACCAGGAATACAACTGCATTTATTTTTGATATCCTGTTGGTCAATCATCAAATGTCATTAAAAAAATTCCTAAGCAAAACTCCATCAAAGGAATCAACTGTACTGGAAACCAGAGATGACCTTAGTTGAAAGCTGTGGCAAACAAACTGCTCCTTT